AAAAAATTGCGTGATAAAAATAGCGTAATTTATTAATATCTGCATATTTTAATAATATAAAAATATTATAAAAATCATAAAAATGGCGGGAACAGAAGGAAATCACAGGAAACTGAAATGGCAAAAAACAGTTCACTACCTTTACTATTACTAGCGTTCATGAAACTTACAAATGCTAACGCTATCCATGCATTACCTCGGAGGCAAGAGCGTTGATAGCGCAAGTTATGGCGGCAAACGCTACTGACAATGACGTCACGTATGGCGTTCGTAGCGTTGGTAGGGAGCTCTCCGTACAGCATTAGCATTCGATAGCGCTAGTAGCGAGCTCCCCGAACGTACCCTACGAATCTTTAGGGATTAATTCTATCTGCATTAGTGCCTTAAAAGATATAAATTGATAATTTAATCTCCTTTCTGCTTTCCACAATATTTGTGTCGATAACTGTCGGCTGAATTATATCAGTCATATTAGAATTCTTAGGATACTTAGGATACGTATTCCAAATCGATCATTATTTCTCAAAAAAAAATCCATTTCATAAATTTCCGCAAAAGACTTGCCACATTAATTTCAAATTAAAAGTGACAATCAATTGCATTATCATAAGAATATATAAATTATATAATCATTATTCAAATCGCGATATTAACAAAACTTGTTTCATTAAATGCCTACTTGATATATATTACGTTTTTATAATATCAAATTTAATCAATAAACGTGAATCATTTATATACAGCGCTCCTACAAGATAACAATTATCGGCTAAGTTCGAGAAAAGCGCTATCAATCCTATTGTATCATTCTATCCTTGTTTTCCAATAAATGACAAAAATAGAATGACACAATAGCGCTGATAGCGTGGCTCTCCGAACGCAGCAATCGAGAGTAGTTAAATTATAGTTAAATTATTTTAAATATAATTATTAATAAATATTAGATATATGTATTCAATTAACAAAAAAATAGTATATTAAAAAATGTTTTTGCAAAGTGATGCGTATTAGGGTTTGATTATATCTAAATAGATATCATCTATAATTATCTATATATTACTGATAATTTTGTAAATAAAAGATAAATACACATTTATCGTAAGCAAGAGATTACCATGAGATATGGAATTTTCAAGACTTCGTCATATGTGTATACAAT